TGTATGTTTGTGCTCGTCTGGATGAGCCCCAGCAGGATAACACTGTGATCAGGAAACAGCCAACATGGATTTGATGAAAAGCTTGAGAAAGCTGATGTCTTTTTACAAGTTGACAGGATCTGTGGATGCAGGGGGGAGAGCAGTACAATGTGATATATCTCAACTATAGCAAGCTTTTCGACTGCCTCCCATGACATTCTCATTACTAAGACAAGGAAATGCAGTCTGGGTGAAAGTACTGTAAAGTGGATCTATAATTGGTTGGATCATCATGTTCAGAGCAGTCATCAGTGGCTCAATATCTAGCTTGGAAGAGATATTAAGAGTCACTTAGTTTATGTTTCTATGGAAAAATACATATTTTGCTTTGAAGATGCTATCCTGTGTCATTATGTTTTCACACTTATCATAGGGGAGCAGACAGCAAAATGCAGATAGACCAGCTGAAGATGTGATTAGAGAAACAAGGTGAACTTCACCTGGGAACCCAGCCCCAAATCCAGACTTGCAGGATTTTGTTAAGAGAAGTGCAAAGTCCTCTCTGTATAGGAGGAGGTGACCCCTGGAGAGACAGTTTACATTAGATATTCCATCAAAAGTGTCAACAAAAAGCTGGGTTTTCATACTCCCCCCCCCCAAAAAAGTGTGTCCTTTGTACAGAAAATGTGAATTAGTCAGGAAACAGAATATCAGAAAACCAAAGCAGTTTCCGCCTTTTGCCAAAACTGAACACATTTTGACCTGAAGCAATATAATAGGGCCACAAGTCCCCAGAGGTACTTTATGTTCCACGATGCATAGCAGTGTTGGCATGGTAATGGGGCTCAATCTTTCCTACTACAAGTGGGGGAACTGGTGCATCACAGGAGATGAAGTTCAGCCAAAGCCCAGTCTATGAGGAATGCTTTCAAATTACAACTCCCAAGAAGTACTCCAACAGCATTTCAGATTCAACATATTTTGTTTCTTGACCAAAAAACTACTCCCCTTCTGCCTCTCCTCCAAAATACACAGATCTGACTGGCTCAAGTTTTTGGCAGAGCTAAGTCTCACTTCTCACACAGTACAATGAGAGAGTATAGTTTCCTGTGCAAATTGCTAGAAGTAGTTTCTCAGATGCTTACATTTTTCATCAGGTCTTTATCCTACAGAAAAAAAGCTTGCACCTTCCACTGCACAGCTGGGCTGAGCTTTGCATTGCGGACTGCAAGGCACACAGGAATAGAGATTAATTGCATAAACAAAAGATGGGGTTTTTTTTAAAACACACATTTACTTGAAGTCTAAAGACCCTATATTCAGTTTGAACCAATGAAAAAAGGAGGGGTGGCACAGAGAAACTCTCTCTCAAAGGGCACATCTACATATTGCCATATGGTGACGTTACTACGGCACTGTGCCTTAGTACTTCCTTTTGGAAGTACTAGAGCACGGCACTGTATGGGTGGTTACTCACTGTGCTGTGTGCACAGTACACTGTTAGATTTTACTGCCATGTCACTGTAGCAGCATGCTATACTGGGGAAGTGTGCCACTACGGCAACAGAGCTGCCGATTATGTATAGGCCCATGTGATTGCTACATCACTGCGGTGTGCCATATGATGCAGCGCATCAGTACATCGCCCTAGGGCAACATGTAGATGCACCCGAAGTCTATTTAAAATGAGATGTCGCTATTTCTATTGTATCAGAGTTCAACAATAGAGGGCCTCGTATTCAAGTGTTGGGGTTAGGATTTACAGTACACATCAGAGGGACGTGAAAGGGTTTTATAATATACTGAGAACATAATATCCTTTCCCATGGGCAGCTGGCACTCCATGCAGGAGAGAGGGAAACAGCAGATGTCTCAACAGAACATTTATACGACAGGAAAAGATGATGGGCACAGCACTGGACTGGGTTTCACAAGACCCAGGGTCTGCCAGTCTGGTGTGACCTGAACACATTGCTTCCTTTCTTTGTACCTCAGCCGTCCACATGTAAATGGATGCCAAAGAGTGTCGTTAGGTTAAATCCATCAGCATTTTGGGAGATATTTAGAGAGCATAACAAGTGCCACAATAAATCCTAAATCGTGCCATGGACAAGGAAATAGATATTTCAGGCACTGGGTTTTGATGCAGTATTTTTGTGCTAAAAAGACAAAAAACAGCCCTGAATTAGGCAGTAGGTATCTCAAGTCCTTATAAAATGCATGGGAAGAAGTATGTTCCTCAAAATGGATTCCTCAAAACCCAGTACATGGATCAAGGAGCTACCTAAGCTGCCCAATATGAAAATGAGGAGGACAGGGATGTGTTTTAAATCCTGCCCCATTTGGGCATTACATGGCTTTAATCCATCCACCCAGAGATTACGCCTACCTATTAGAACTGCATCCATCCACAAAGCAGCAGAACATATGCATGCCAAAATCCCCAAGTTCCAAAAGGCAATAATTTAATGAAACAGAGTTCATAACATCTCCAAGAGCAAAGGGAAATGGGTCATCCTTCATTCAATCAAAGATTTAAAACAGTAACTCATTTCTGATAAAGTATGCTAGAAATGTTGATTCTAGAACGAAAAGTAGCAATAGTGACCCTATGCAGATTAAATGCAAGTATTCACAGTAGACACAAACAGTTCTTCCTTTTCTAAATAATTCATGTTTTGCAAATACAACTTCCTCACTGTGTTAGCACAGAAAGTCAGGGAAGCAAGCAGTGCAATATCTGATGCCATTATGAAAAAAAACACAGTCTCATCAATATGCAACCTCAGTATTTTCATGAGCTGTTCCGAATCTCTCATGCCGCCTATTCTACGCAATAAAAATTTTAGAATTTGCATTACACATTTCATAGACATTAACACTGGAAGGGACCTTGTGAGATCATCGGGTCCAGCCCCCTGTGCAAGGGGAACCTTTAGGTTTATTTTTATTGCTAAAGAGGCAAACCAAATATCTATACTGGGCGTGCACCAATAAAGATTTTTCTTGGCCAATACTGATGGCCAATTATTAACCAGCCATATTGGCCAATACCAATCAGATAGCTAATTTACAGGAATGCGGCCCAGCAGCTTGGAGGGCGGTGTCTGGCCGGTAAGTCTGTGGGGGAGAAGAGGGGTAGGGAAGGGAAAGGAAGGGGCGGGGAATGCAACCCAGGAATGGGACAGAGCCGTAGGCAGCTTGTCCAGGGCATGTGGGAGGGGTGGCAGCTACCTACCGTTGTATGCACCCCTGGGGGAGGAAATAGGGGGAGCTGCTCCCCCACGCCCCTTCCCTCCTCCACACCCCTTCCCCTCCACAGACTTACCAGGAGGATGCTGCTTTCCTAACTCCCAGGCTGCATTCCTGGCTGTGTGCATGCTGTGGCTGCACACATGCATGCAGCATTTAAATCAGTGACTTTATCAGCTACAACCAGCCAAAAAAAAGCCAACTGCCGATAATTTTCCTGTTATTGGTGCCAATCTGATATGCCACTGATATATCAGTGCACCTCTAATCTATGTAGGAAGGAAATGGCTGTTCCTGTGCAAATAGAAACATCTGTTGACATGTACCTTTTTTTTTTTTTTAAAAATCAAGCATATTATAATACCTTAATTACATATGCAAAAATGTTATCAGCTCCCAGCATCCAATTGTGTCAACTCATTAAGCAAAGAACATCTTCCATTAAACCAATTTCCATGCTCTCAACGTGAGTCACCTCAGATTTGTTTTGATTGTGTTGCAAGGGAAACAAAAAAGCATAAATATTTTAATCAGTGGGAGACTGGAATAGTTCTGGGATTGCTTTCATCAGTAGTGGAAACTAATGTGGGCCAAAATGAGGTTTTAACATGTTTTAGATTTTTATTTTATATGCTAATAAGAATATGGGATGTAATCTAACAAGTTCAGAGTTTACATGCTGGGTTTATGATCCAATTCAAGCATGCAATTTGATCCGCTGCATAGTCATCATTAAATTAAAAAAAAAAAAAAAAAAACAAACAACAACACTTTGCCAAACTGGAAGAATAAGTCTAAATAAAAGAAAGTTACATTCAAATGCGTTGACTGTTATACTTGGAATCACTGGAACCCATCAGAGCATGCCCTGTTCAAACTGATCCACATGGCGAAATCCGTCATTCTAATTCCATGCAGAAGCTCCATAAGTCCTCGAATAAGCTGAAAGTCTTTCATGGATCCAGTTCTCAAAGGGTTTTTATATAAGAATACACAGGAACAGATTTCCTAATATCAACACTTCCAAAGTCATAGAGGAGTAGTTCTTAAAAGCAAAAATATTGCTTTTTACAGAAGTAACCATGCACAGAGAAAAAGAGATGTATCCATAATGAAAAGTAGACATACATTAAAGGATTATAAAAAAACATTCTGCCCAAGTCAAGTAAGCTGTAATATAGTATCCATACTACTTGAAGTGTGCTAGCAAATTACAAAAAGATTAAAACAGCAGGTTGAAAAACATTAAGACAGATACACTCATTTGAGCTCTTTAGAAGGCAATTTGAGTAGATAGTAAGAAACTTTATATAGCTCTAAGGCACACAACAAAAATACAAGAACTGAAGTGCTTCCATAGTCTTGATAGCTGAACCATTCAATGCCAACTCCATTAACATTATTAAGCTTCCTTCATTATATACAGATATGTTGCCTGGCAACATAAGAGAGTGGTGGCTACCTGGAAAATCTGTGTTTCTACATTCAGATTCTAGCAGCTTTTGGTCATATATATATATATATATATATATATATATATATATATATATATATATATATATATATATATATATATATATATATATATATATATATATATATATATATATATATATATATATATATATATATATATATATATATATATATATATATATATATATAACAGGTGTGTGTCATATATATATATATATATATATATATATATATATATATATATAGACTGGTCTAATAAAAGATACCAGATTCACCCAAGGAACCTTGTCTGCCTATGTCCTTAGACCAACACGGCTACAACCTACACCCCCCCACCAGCTGTTACAGGAGTTTAATGAGGAGAAGCTGCAATCTTATTGTTGTGGAAGTGCTATAGAATAAATGCTTGTCACTACAGGAGGTTGTGAATTCGCTGTCTAAGGAGAAAATATTAAAACCACTACCGATTAAACTTTCCATGTGAAAGGTTAACTTTGAGTTTCTCAACACAAACTGTGTGAACAAGTTTGGGATGTTAAAAAGAAACAAGACATTTTCTAAACAAAGCATTCCAGTTTTTAGGTTCAATGTAACTTTTTGTTTAGAAATTTAGATTAGCTATAGTAAATAAATAAATAAATAAAAAGCATTAAAACAGAAAAGAACAAAAACAAAATCAGTGGACCAGAACCAATTTGCCAGGGGGGAGGGAGTGGGAGAAAGATTTTCAGTATATAAGTATTTTCTGGATTGGACTTTTCATTGTGATTTGGGAAAAACAGTTTTCTTGCTGCTCTATTTGTCAAGTAGTATTTTCATCAAGTCATAAAATAATGCAGTTATTTTTCATTGCCAAAATCAGTTGTGGTCATCTTTTTGGCAGGCATGCCACAAATTATGTTCCTACCACAGCTCCGGCCCCTCATCCCCAGAGGCATACTTGACAGATTTCTCACCTTGGGATGCAGGAATGGAGGCTGGAAAGCCTGCTCGGGGAGGATGTTGCTGCAAGAAAGATGTCACTACCAACAGCCAAATTAACCCTTCTGTGGCCTCACAACCACAGTTCTACATGGCAAGCAAGGATCCAAAGTTCTCTGTGACAAACAGTTCTGTTGCAGATGCAGGGCTAGGGAAGGGTTAGCCCGGTCCTTAGTGGTGACACCTGATACCTCCTCTCCAGTATGCTGCTTGCATGGCTTAAATCAATCAAGGTCAACAGCAATAGTAAAAAATAAAGCCAATTAACTAATTAGACTGCAGATGCAAATGAAAGCCACTTTGATAAATAAGAACATTTACCAAATTCTTCTTATGATTGATCAAATCACATACAAATGCCTATTTCCATAAAAGCTGGATCATAAAATAGTCATTTTTCTTTTCCTATACCTCCAATATTATCTTCTCATTAGAATGTTGAACCAAATGGACAAGATTAGTTCCAACACCTACTACATCAGTTTGCACAGCTGAAAACCCTGAGAAAGGACAGCTGAGGATGGATCAATTTTAAAAGGTTAGAGCAGGTTCTATCAAGAGACTCTGCAACACTGTGATTCCAAAAACTGCAATCTGATTTAGAATGCATCATCCAAACTCCCAGGACAGTACAGATTTCAAAAACACAAAGCAACCCCTCCCCCCCCCCAAATAAAAAAAAAACAAAAACAAAAACAAAACAAGCATTTTTACACATGGATTGTATGGAAAGCCTTAGCAATAGTAAGACAATATACATAATGCCCGAAACATTACAAACATTATGTTCTATCATAAAAGAGGTCTGGATTCAGGAAAGTTCCAGTTTTTAAGATTTGGTACCTGCAAAAATTCCTGTTTGTCATATACTGCTACTCAAAATAATAACCTTAACATTCTTGGAAAAATACATATTAAATTGAACCATCTAACAAAAGGACTAGATGAGACCTATTTATTTGAAAGTATGACCGGGCATTCATTGCAAACACCAAAATCCTCTCTAGAAATTCACCTGACTATATTTCATTACTAACTAAACAATTAAATCAGCTTCGTGAAAAGATTTGTTGAATTCCATGAACACTTAGAAAAGATTTCTGTCTCTAGAAGTTCAACCTAGGATGATTCTTATCATTTGGAATGTATGAGGAAATTGCAATTTCATTGGATTGCTGGTTTCATGCAACTTGTGCTTAGAAATAGTGGTTCTCCGGGAATCTTAAACTCCAAGCAGCACTCAAGAGGATGTGAACCACTCGCATGGCTAGAACTGGATGGAAGTTTGCACAGTCCTACTGTAAAATGAACATACTGCTTTCCACAGTCCTAGTTACAAGTCATTATTTTTTTATAAAACACCAATGGAAATATTGCACAAGGCTGTGGTTTCAGTGATAAAAAACAAATAAAGGCGATAATGAAGTCAGTTATTCCAGATTCTGGTTTAGCTGAATCAGAATGACAGCATTCTGCTTGTTTTATAGTTTAGTTATGGCCAGAAAAGTGAGTATGTAAAAATGGCACTTATTTCATTGATTTGCTAATTTTGGTAACAGAGGCACTGTCCACTAAACCTGATCCAATTAAAGCAATACAAACTTCTCATATAGATGCACTTAAACCAATTAAAGCACAATTTAAATTGGTTTCAACTATTTATTAGGGGCCTGCAATGATTCAAGTTGACTTAGTTATACTAGTGCAAGCTTTCTAATACAGACATAAGCAGAAAAGCCAGTGTTTATGCTTTTACTCATATTAGTCCTGTAGGACAAGCACAGTTATGTTGGTGGCTGAAGTCTCTTCCTTCTCATCTATCAATTCCAGTGGTGTTCATAATTACAGTCATTCCCTTCACTAAAAATATAAATGCTTGATTAGAAAGCATGGTGATATGTAAGAAGGAAAGCACCCAGCTCAACTCTCCAACTGACATAGAAAAAAATAGTTCTAGAAGTAAATGGTGGAAGTTTGCTCCAGAGCTTTATAGCCACTTATTCCACACACCCACTGCCTTATAAGATTAAAAAAAATAATACAACAGAGAAACATTTTGCAGAAGTTTGTCACTACTGCTTTTTGGCATTAGCATATGTTAAATGATCCAACTCTATGTTATTGACATGGTTGGGCTTGGAAATGCATCAGTACACTGAATCGGTTTCTTCATTTGTTAAAAGACACAATTTATATGACCTAATGGCACTTTGGTTTCTCTGCATTTTTATTGCAGTCCCAATGGTATTCACAGCTTTAATACATTTATACTTGTTAAAAAAAATACCAAAGCTGTGAGGGAGACCCGCTACAGCAAAGTGTATCACAGCTAAAACACTAGAAAGTGTTAAGTGAATGTAAAAGACAACTCAGTTTAATCTGCTGGCTGCTGTAAAAACATGAGTCACTGAGGGGCAGAATATCCCACTGTTCTTCACACAGGCCCTCATTTCTCTTCACTAGGGCTGGGACAGTGCACATAAAACCTAGCACAGAAAGGAGAAATGGAGAACGAAAGAGATGAGCCAGAGTAACAGGAATTTATCACCTAAGTCCAGAACACAAGCCCGGAGCCTGCTCCGATACGCTGTAATTATGTGTTGTAGACAAACTTGTTTTACTATTACTGCTACTGGGTCTGTGATGAAGTGAAAATAGTTTAGCTATCCAATTTACTGGACACTTCAAACCCTTTATCTTTTTACTTTTAACATTCCTCATCTCAGTTTGTAAAATCTTTTATTCTGAAAGTCTAGGTCTACACATAGAAATTGAATCATTTTACTGAGATCAGTTGTTATTCCATGTTGTTAAATCCATGTTGCTAAATTTGGGCAGCCCCAAAAACACTCCCGAAACAAAGTAAGAGGTGCTATACTATCTAAATTAGCACAAAGTACTCTGTAATGTGATACCGTTCTACATAAAATGCTGTTGCACATATTAAAAACAAAATTAACAGGTACTTAAATCAGTACAATTTCTGCTTCAATACAAGCTTGCTGTATCTGTTCACTTACAGACTAATTCAGAGCATTTAAAACTTAGGTTTCAAACTTTGATTTAGAAAAAAAACCCAAGTATTTTCACTAGATTTTAAAGACACAGGTATCTACTAATTATAAGATTTGGGCCAATTTTGGACCAAATCCTACCTACCTAGTTATTACCAAACTATATCTGGGTGCCTATGACACTGTCCTTCAAAAAATAGTGCTGGGGTCTGATGCATACTTTTAATTAAAAAACCCTCAGCCAAAACTGCTAAGTGTCACCAATTACCACTCAGTGGCAAAGTATTATATGATTGATTGAGCTGGGGTCCAATTCTTTTGACACCAAAACTTCTCAGCTTGTTCTGTTTGAATTCCTACAAGGTGGCAATATTATCTTGCCTATCAAAAAAAAAAAAAAAGAGCTTAAATTGTTTTTGGCAGTATAACAATTGTATCTATAGAACAATTCTAGTAGAATATTCTTCATGGTAAAGTAGTTTTATGCCAGGAAGTGCAGACAGTTAAACTAAATTGAAATTATCTGGCATGCAGATGAATCATAACAGCCATAAATTACCTTTTAATGGTACCACCTTCCCTGTTGCTGGTTCCCTGCCACTTTCTACTAACTTAGAAAGGTAATAGGTAAACTGTTTACCATGCCAAATGCATACTATTTTCAGGTCTTTTACAAGCCCTACTTCTATTGCATATACCTGCGCTAAATATTTAATCCTTTTGCTTGCATGTGCCCCTCAGCTGGCCACCCACTAGGTATTCAGTTCTATCATCCTTCAAGAGAGGAAGAGTCTCTGAAGAGTAAGCATTTCTTAAACTGGCAATAAATGCCTCATTTTAGCCAGAAGGACAATAAAACTTCATGATCTATTCATCCTATAAAGGTCCATCATGAATCTTTTGGTAAAGTCAGTCAAATCTTCAAATATGTTGGAATTCATACTTTTGGAGGTAACTGGACAAATGTAGGGGACACTTTAAACTGAGTTACTGACCCCAAAGAAGTATAAATGCATTTGGACCGGATATAGCTAGTGGAGTGTATTTAAATATACAAGTTACCCAAACTCTCTCAAGGGGCAACTTGTCAAGAGCACCAAACTTGACAATTTAAGTCTGCTTCCCCTGAATTCAAAAGACCCATCAAATTCAGTAGGAGCAGCTAGGCCAACTAATATCTTATCATGTAAGTTCCCAGTATTCAGCATTCTATTTTGATTCAAACAGAGGCTATTCAAATCAAGATATGGTATTGCATTCTGGGTACCTGCAGTCTTTGTAGATAATGTTAAATATAAAGGAAGATCTATAGGAAGCTTTGGGGGCGGAAGGAGCCAATATTTGGCACACAGTCCCAGCCACCACTTTAAAAAATGGTTGACTAATAGGACGCCCAATGGTTTGTCAGCTTTGCCTTCATCACCTAAACCCAAAAGTGTACAGTCTACAGTGAGATTGATTTTAGAGTCCCAAACAGAATAAAACAAGTTGGACGTTTCTTTCATTAATAGTCTGTGGTCAATAAAAAGTGAGTCTCACTGAAATGGCATCTTATTAATATTAGGCTGCTTACAGATGTAACCCCCCCAACACCCCAAAACGGCACTTTAAACTCTGTGCGCCCCATGCCAAAACCAACACCCAGAAGATGCAGCATGCTAGTTGGATCCAGTTTGCCCAACATCTGTAGAGATCAGATGGTTATTGGGGCTTTTTTGTGCTTTTATCTAATAGCTGAATGAATCAGCTATTAGATAAAAGTACCAAAACCCCCTGCTGAAGCACGTGATCTATACAGATGATGCAGAGCCTGGTCAAACTAATGTGTTGCCTCTTCCAGGAAAGTGCAGTTTTTTTTCCATGTCTGTTGGCAGCCTTAGTGCATAAGTATTAAAAAAAACGGAGTCAACTGTGCTAAAGTATAAGAGTCCAGCTTTGTAAGCTTCAGATAAGAAGCTAATGTCCACATTTGTCTTTTTCATTTTAGCATTCATCTCAAAATCCTTTCCTTTTAAATTCTGGAAATTGAATCGTTAAGTTAAAAAAGCAAAAGCTTCTTACAAATATTTACTATAAATTAACCTTAAGAAAATAAACAATTTATAAAATGTGGTCTTTATACATAGCTTTTGTTGCAGATATGTACACTGTATAATTCCATCATTTAAAAATTACTAAACATTCCTAGGTACTTCTTTCCTTGCTGTCCAGCAGTTTAATCTTTGTACTCAGAATTTGTTCCATTACAGATCAAGTGCAAAGTTACCAATTCCTACTGAAATGCTCATCTTTCATTGCTTTCACCAGCCAGTCCCTTTCCCTTTCCTCATCAGAATCGCTCACATCACTGGGATCTGCAGCTAGGAGACGAGAATAATTGATTTTTTTCTGCCGAGGCAGCTTGGATTGGACAATAAGGAACAAGATTAACCAAAGTATCAAACTTATGCAACATGCCCTGTATAGAACTGCCAGGCCAAAATTGCTCACAACAAATCCTCCTGTGAAACTTCCCAGACTAGCTCCACAACCATAGGAGAGGCCTTGGAGGACAACGTGCAGAGCTCTTTCTGTTCCAGGAGTGGCTACATCATCAACCATCATATTAACTGCCCACCATAAAGAACCATTACTGAAAGCAGATAAAATCTGGATAGGTAAAACGGCCCATGCATTCCACAGGAACGAATAGTACAGAAGTTGTAGTGCAAGGCAACTTAAACTCAGTGCAACAGTGCCACTACTTGACAGAGTCCTTAGCAACCTGCTTTTGCAGAAATGCAGCAAAATTTCAGCAATTAGTCCAATTGCCACTGAGAGACCCATGTATAATTCAGTGCTGCCCTGGTCCTGCATTTGCCAGAAGAGAAAGTTCTGTACCGTAGATCCAATGACCCCGGTCAGGAAGACTGTGACAGCTGACAGAATTGTTCGACCATCACTTCCAATGAGGTTCAGTGCCTTGACAGTTTTGTTCACGTGCTCCGTTTTCCTAGAAACATGGATGGGAAAAAAGATGCTGACAAGCAATGTGAGTGTGATCAGCAGGGCGTAGCCATAGAAATGAACAGCGAGACGGGAGACTTCAGTATTGAGGAAGCAATTCAACTGATCCACAAGTATAGCAATACTGCAGGCTCCTCCGGAAGCACCCAAATAACTCCAAATCCAAAGATTCCCGTATCTGTCGGTTGCATCAACAAAGTCAAGATATTCATAAAGGCTATCATCAACCGTCCATTCGAGGGGTGCAGCCAGCAGCTCCCAAAACACAACAGCACCCAGCACCATGAGAAAAACCTGGTGCTCCCTGTCAAGAAAGTTAACTGGCAGGAGCTCCAAGTTGACATCCTGAGCGTCTTCCCAGTGTCCTGAGAGATTTTCAAAAACATAAGGAGTCTCAACAACAGGGCGAGGGTTTGTTTGAAATAGAGAAAGCTCACTACTTCCACTCATAGGAAAGTTTTCCTCAGGATTATCATTCACCTTTAGAAACCGAGAGCCCAGGCTGCTTGTTCCTTGTTCAGGTTGGTTAAACCGCGTTTCACCGGAAGGGGGTGTATGAAGCTCTTGTGCCACCTGTTTCACCTGTACAGACGCCGTCACGCCGGGGGCACCACTCACGCGGGGATCCGCACTTTTATCATCTTTACCAGCTCTTCCATTTTTTTCCTCGAGCGGATCAGTAAAACCAATCAATTCTTGGAAAGCCGCCTTACGTACAGCGGGCCGGACCCTGGTCCCCACGGCCGCGGCACTGCCGCTGGTGTTGCTCGTGCCCACGTCGGCGGTGGCGCCGGGCGACGCGTGGCTGACGTTGCAGTACCTGTACAGAGCCTCCTGGCTCAGAGGCGGGACGAGCGTGAGCAGCAACCCAGCCCCGACGGAGCCCAGCAGGGAGGCGGCGATGAGCACCTTCCTCTTGCCGCGGCTCTTGGCCAGGTAGGAGGCGAGCGGGGCCCAGAGGCACGACACGAGGTGCTTGATGCCCATGACGATGCCCACGAGCGGGGCGGGCAGCCCCAACTGCCGGCAGTACAGGCTCAGAAAGGGAGCCACGCAGGCGTTGCCAGCGCCGTGGAGGAAATGGAAGACGCCGGCCACGGCCAGGGCCTTGTGCACGTCCCACTGCTGGTTGGTGCTCGTGGCCTCGGCCACATGCTGCCGGCCCCCG